CTCCCTCTCCCCTGCATGGCTGATATCACTGTGCAACCATCAGCGCTGTGCATTGTGGGAGTGTCTGTTGGGGCAGAGAGAGGCGACGGGGGCTGAGGGATTCACACGCCTCTGAAAGACAGCCGGAGGGAGAGAGAGAGAGGGAGTGAGGGAGGGAGAAAGAGGGAGAGAAGCATGAGGGGAGGGAGGCAGGGAAAGAACTAGAGATACGGAGGGGGCCGGTAACTGGAAATGAGAGATGGCATTTTAAAGAGGAAGCCGAATTTCACCTGCAATTACCGTAGCTCCGGGGCACGCGGCTCGGTTAAGAGACATTTCATTCCAAAGCCGCTGCGTAAAGCTGCCGCGCCGAGAAGCAAGGGGAGGAAAAAATAAGAGTGGTGGAAAACTCTCCTCTGCCCAAGATGGCCCTCAGCAGATGCAGCGATGAAAGGGAGGAGGCGGCCCGGGATGTAAACTGGTAAATGAAACCCAGTCGGAAAAGTGGGAGAGAGGACAGGAAAGGAAACAAGGACGGCTATAAGAGACAGAGGAAAGAGGGAAAAAAGGGCTCTCATTCAGGAGGCCCTGACTGGGCCATCTGCACACCAGACCAGACAGCTGAACTGGGCCTCAGAGAGCACACACACACACACACGCACACACACACACACTGAACAAAGAGCAACTACAATACAATAATCACTCCTACATTTAAGTACAGGAGAAGATGCGTTCAATGATTAATATCATTCTTAGTATGCACTCTTCTCTTTTGATGAGACCTCTACCTTCCTCTCCTCTCTCCCTCTCTCTCTCTCTCTCAGAACTCCAAATGGAGCCGTAATGGTTTCCCCGAGGCTCGGTGTCCTGGCTAGTTTCACCAGGCACGCTGCTGTGTTTCATGGGAGAAGTGTGACTGCACAAATACAGTAATGAGTCCTCACTGGGAGCCGGGGGGGCCTCCTGGCACCACTAATGGCTCCTCTGGACTGCAGCTGTATCCAGGTTACAACCCGGCCTGCCCGGCTGGCCCGGTAGGGACAAATGATTTCCAGCCACCGGCAGAAGAATTGTAGTCAGAAAACCAGGTCCATAGAGGACCAACGTGTGCAGTGAGTGGGGTTTTTTTTTCCAAATCGGGGAGAAGAAAAGAAGATCTGGGAAAGAGGTTGGTCTGAGGGGGGGGGGGGGGGGCAGGAAACCCTGGAAAATTTCAAAAAACAAGGGGCCGGGGGGGAACCAAAGGCCATGGGATAAAAACAGTTGAAAAAATGTGGTTTGGCCATAAAAGCAGCAGATAGACCCAATAAACCTGGAGTCTCTCATTGGGCAACAGCTGGCGTTTGAGTGAGGGTGGCATAGGGGCGGGAGATGGGGGAGGTTGGAGGGGTGTGTGGTCTCCGACTAATAGTCACATTAACAAATGTAGTCTGCCGACTTGCGCATATCCAGCTAACGCGACGGTGAAATCTGCGAATCAAATCGTCAATCGTGAAAGGCCAGTGCGCACAAGCTGCTTTGCACCTTTAAACCCCATAAAGCGTGTGACGGATTCATTATAACACACTTTGTGTGTGCTGTGTGTCCTGACATTGATCGACCCCGCAGAACTTTCACTTTCAAAGGGCCACGTGACACAAATGTCCCAAAATGACCCCCTGTCAGCAGTTCTGTAAGTCATAACTATGCCCGGCAACGGCGCTATTGAGCGAGGCCCTATGATGTCGACCATGCGTTGTTTTTTTTTCACCCGGCCGTCTAAGAGGCATTAGCCCCGAGTCCGAGGAGCTCGGATTGCAGGCCAGCGTGTGTGGGGCTAAAAGCTTTGTGATGTGCGGGGGCTCCTTGTGTTTCATAAATTACCGGCATGCAATTACGTTACATTACGACACCCAAAACTCACTGCACTGTGTGTCCAACAACTCCCCACTACAACAAACACATTCACGCGCTCGCACACACACACACACACACAGAAACCCACTCCCATTGTTGCCCTCTCTGGGACAGCTCACAGCTTGGGTTCTTTAGCTCCTGTTTTGTGTGACCCTCCATTCAAAATGGCCCCCTCAAGACCACGCACATTATAACGCCAGGGCAGGCAGCCCCCCGAGTGGACTGAGGGTCCCGCGGGTGCGAGCAGTGATTCATGGCACAAGGGTCTCTAAAAGAGCAGCCTCGCCCGCGCCTCGGTGACAGGGGGAGGTGTGTGGGGGGGGGGGCAACTGTTTGGCAACGGGGGTGAATGAAATGTCTGGCTAGAGGACCGAACCCTGTTGAGAATAGGCGACATGGGGAACAGTCTGTGTGTGTCTGTGTGTGTGTGTGTGTGTAGACAGACAGAAAGACTTCAATCGGGGACACCCAGCTAATGCTGGGAGTGTGTCTGCTGAATCTACAGCGCTTCCTGTCCCGAGGACAAATCTCGCGGCGGCTTCTTTTTAAACAATCTTAGCTCCGAGGCAAGTGCAAAGCACTAAATGTTCAGGAGTTATCTTGAACACTTCCCCAATCCAACGGAGCAGCAGTTTAAAGGGCGGGGGGAAGAAGAAAAAGAAGAAGAAGGAGCGGGGGAGAAAAAAGAGACACGGCGAGAAACAAAAGGCTCATGAATAAGAGCTGAAAAATGATAGTAGTCGCTGGGAATGGATGAAACCCTATTCAGCTCCTGTGACAGGCAGCCAGACACACAAATTCCCTCCCCTCAGGCTAGAAGGTGTAATTTCCCCTTCCTCTGTCACAGGAGCCATGTAAAAAATAATTTGTAGCTCAATGAGTGACTGCAGTAATGTACAACACGTATGCACAACTCCGTCTCTCTATCTATTATCTTTCCTTCTATTTATCATCTATCAATTGACATGCCTTGTATCTATCCATCCATCCAATTCCATCTATCGATATGTCTCTCTGTCTGTCTATCCTTGGAGATCGAGACACTCAGAATAGAAACGCTGGCATGCTGCTCCGTTGTAACACACGGTGGGATGCGGATGGAAATGCTGGCCCCACAGGACACACACACACACACACACACACACATAAAGAGCGGACTGCTGTGGGGCTGACGCAAGACTATCTCTGTCTCACGTGTCTCTCCCCTACGGCCGCCCGCTGCTCCTGACCTTCGAGATGTTTTTCTCTCCCCTTCTCCCTCTCCCTTTATTCCTCTCTATTTCACACTCACACAACACACAGCCTCGCTCACTCTCAAAGATGGCGCCCCCCCCCCCCCCCACACACACACACACACACTGGTGCACACCTCCCAGCCACTCCGTACTTTGTCATTAAAAGGCATTGCATTTCAAGCTCGGATCAAGCAGATGGGGGTGCGTAAGCATCGCCGCTCCTTTGCCGCGGCACCTTGGCTTAAGCCCGGACCGTCCATGCGCATTACGTGCAAGCGAGCAGAGACACACATACACACACACACGCACAGCCTTCCTGGAACCGGAGCATGAGCCCGGTTGTGGACGGCCGCTTCATGAGGGCTCTGTGTGGCCGTGTTGTGTAACGCCTATCTGATGTGGGGGCGAAAGACACGCTCTGCACAGCGAGAACGCCAAACAGCACAGACACAAAGGTGTCGTGTCCAAGCCGAGGAAGTCGAGTCTTTGCCTGACATTTATATTCCTCCTTTCTGGAGACCACTGGTTTTATGCCTAATAGTGGAAAAAAAACACTGACAAATATGCGCACAGAGAGTTCAAACGGGTTCACACTCACACACACACACACACACGAATGTAATATAATTATATCCCCATGCCATTAGACACAATTTTCTTTCCTTTCGTTGTTCTCTCAACATTTGCATATTCCTTTGGGTGTTTGAGTTGAGCGGCTCTTTCCTCTCTCCTTCTCTTGTCTTCCAAGCAACAAATGTCAGCTAATTACACTAGAGCTGTTTTGGATGAGCTCCATCTCTCCCTGTGCTCCGCTGTGCTCGTTTTCCACGGGGCTGCAGGAGGAGCCAGGCAGCCAAGACATGAAAGTGGGGGATGATCTACAAGGCTGCACCACTCCCCCCCCCCCCAAGACACACACACAGCCAGCCACCTCCTTAGAAATTGATTCCCCAAGAGAGGGCTCATCAATACTTATCAGAAATGGTACAACCGGCTTGCGCCAACCGGCGGGAGACATGATATCATTCACAGCCAGAGACGAGGCCGCAGCGCTCGGACAGAACCACGCTTACTAACATACGGGGCCCAAGAGCAACTTGAGGGGCCTAACATGCATTTTCCCAAACAGGTTTTTACAAAAAATGCCATTTGGTCTGGTGACACTGGGCCAACTAGGGCCATCGAGTACGGCAGGAGAGGGAAAAAAGTGCAAGTCATTGTCTGTGCGTGGAACAACAAACTGCCACCTCGGTGTGTGTGTGTGTGTGCAAACTGAAGCCTCGAGGACGCAGCCGCGCCCCTGAGTGCTGCTGACTCTCACACAGAAAGGAGAGTGAGAAAGCAGAGGAAAAGAAAAGACAGGAGAAGGACAGAGCGTGGAGGGGGATTCACGCTGCACCCAAAACCCAGAGGCACTGCAGGGCACGGCTAACGACAATTTAAATTTGGATCCGAACGCATCGCAGAGTCAAAGCATGTTTATTAGGAGCGCACGTTTCAAACAAATATTCTGATTAGAATGGGAGAAATCTAATTAATTGCCTGATTCACTGAATGAACCGAATTTGTATTGCAATCATAACAACTGCTTTTCAAGGGGCTCTTTAATTTAATTGGGGAAGAGAAAAAAAAAAAAAAGAAACATCCTTTCACTGAATGAATGAAAATCAAATTAGGCCTGAAACTGGAGGAGTCTGCAAGTTTGTTCTACCGTGCCAAAGGAAGAAGAAGAAGAAGAAAAAAACACTGCGAAAGCAGAAGTGAGTGAGAGTACATATTTTTAAAAGTCACGCTCCAACTATTTTGTAACACGCAGAATACATACGCCGTGGGCACCGGAGTGAAAGAGAGGAAACGTGAATATGGTTAAGTATACTGTGTACTCACTGTTAGAGATGTCTTCAGCTCTTTGACATAACTGCTGTAACACCTGGAGAAAAGGGACAAATAAAGGAAGGATTGCTGTGGTTCAGGATAACAAATACAGTCGGGCTTTCTCTTATGTGATAGTTACATTTTATGCATGTAATGTATATGCAACAAAAACGCAGCAACTGCCGTTTCTTTTTTTTCCTTTTGAGAGAAGGGGATTTAGCCGTCTAAAAGTACCTGGATATCAAACTCGCAGTTACACAGCTTAGTGTTTGTGGTCTGAGACACATCAAACAAAAAGTGCAGTGATGTCTGAAACACAGCTGTGCCGGTGCCCCCCCCCCCACACACACACACACAGAAAGATACTCACACGGACAACAAGTATCTTTCTCCCCGAGCCGTAGCCTGCGAAACCTGTTTGTTAGAAACGGATCTCGACACTGGAGCTCAGAGTGTGAGGATATTTTCCCCAAACACAAGACGGCTCTTGCAGAGAACCAAGCCTTAGCGGCGTTCTCACGCCCAATCTCTCACGCATTGTCTCCCGGGCCCTCCTGTGCACTCGCACAGCCTAATCTGAGTGGCTCACCATAACAGACGCCACCCTGCTCTGTGCGCCGGGCTGCGGCAAGCAAACACGCAACGGTTTTACTGCTTTTATTCACGGCGGCGCGCGCGTGGCGTTCGATATCGCCTACGTCCGACGGACACAGGACTCTGGAGGGGAGCCGGGTGGCACCAACACACAAACGTCTCCTCGTACACTTGGAAGCGGACTACGACAGACTCACACAACACACAGCCCGTGTGTGTGTGTGTGTGTGTGTGTGTGTGTGTGTGTGGTGTGTGTGTGATGGGGTAGCTATATAACAAGGTTGTGTTGACAGTAAACACATCCATCTGGTCACAGGGAACAGAATCACGCCTGGTGGTGCACTTCATCACCGCGGCAACGGTCAGCTATTAAGATTCTAAAATGTTTCGATTCAATGACCGAATCTCTCACGCGCTGTTTACAAGAGACGTCCGTGTCACAGCTTTGTGTGGATTTCTTCAATAGTGCCTCTGAATGTTCCTGGACCTTGTTTGAATGACACCCGCGCTGAGTGAATGGATGCATCCGAGCTAATTGTGTCTTTCTAGATGCCCTCCGGTCACGTCAAAGGCCGCGGCCCATGATGCCACGCACATCTGTCATTACAGCTCAATTTATCAGAAATCCCTCGCACTGATGGTGTTGATGATAATCGCAGGTGATCGAACTGCAATGGTCGCCTTCATTATCTGCACACAGACAGACCGCGGAGCCACACAAATACTTCTCATCTCAGTGATAATGATAACAGAAAGGCAGGTAGGCTGAATTCATCTTCAGCTTTTTCATAAAAGCCTATTAGTGGATGATTAAAGGATCTCTGCTCATAGGGCCTCAGCACAGAAAACGATTTGCCAGCCATGAGGCAGGTGAATTACACTGGATAAGGAAGCCAGTGCTGTCTGCCATCATTTGCCTGACTGAGAGTCGGGCTGTTAGTCCATTAACCTCATTTTACTGCAAGATATTAGCAGTTTTACATCAACGGCGGATAAAATATCGCACTACACACACTTTTCATATTTGTAGCCTCCTTCAAACTGCACTGTCCTCATGAATCATGTCAGTATCATAGCATTTGGGCTGCGGCTAACAATCGTTTTCATTTTCAATTAGGAAGGATTATTGTTTCTCATCGTTTGGGCTGTCAAAGCGTGCCTTCTGAAACGCGAGTTGAATTTTTGAATAGCTTGCTTTGTCTGACGGACAACAGAACCCCCCGGATAAGTTCACTGACACATCAGGCAAAAGGGGAAATAGTAACTCTTGAAGAAGAAGACTCAGCTATGGATTCATCGTGGAGAATACACGCGGTCACGTCGCACAAAAGCCGTTTGTTACTGCCTATAACAAACAATTGCTACAACAAACGCCGGCCCAAAGTCACGGCGGAACTCACTGCTGATTTGTTATTATAGCCGTTATTTCGTAGTAATTTCCGTCTGACGGCCAAAAAAAACAAACCAAACAAGGAAATGGAACTCTCTGCAAAGTTAGAACGCCGTGCATTTACACTGCAGGCGTGTTCGCACACGGAGAACGTTCAACGCAACTGTCATGACGTCTGCCCAAATTGTCTTGTTTGGTTTCCTAATCTGAAGTAAGCCGCGTTGCCTCAGCCACACAGATGTTGACTCTGCTTTGGGATTCATCCAGCTGCTCTCAGGCCTCTGCACAGGGTTAAATATGAGGGCCGGCCCTTTTTTCAACAGCCACAAAAAGAGAGAGAAAGACAAAAGAGGAAAAGAGGAAGAAAAAGAAAGAAAAATAAATGTCGGTCACCGTGTTTCACGTGAGCCTCCGTTGCCAGAAACCGCTGGTGCTGTTTGAGCAGGAAAAACAAGTGTACTCTGAAAACACACACGTTGAGATTGGCCTAAAATCCCTTGCGTTTTAATATTTGATGCTTTGTTAGAAGAGCGACACCGGCGAGGCGTTGGTCTCCGTTGGTCTCGGGCCCCCGTGGGAGTTCAGCTCCTGAGACTTGGGCCCCGGACATTTTCCTGAAGACCCTCGGAAACAAAACAGGCAAGTCTTGACAGTCCGTCGGCCACGGAGTCGTCACACAATCAGTTGCAGGAAACCAATCCCTAAATAGCAGTGATTCATCTCCTCATCACACACAATGCCAGTACACAGCGCACAAAGACGCGCTCTCTCTCCCTCTCTCTCCCTATCTCTCTCAACCCCCTTCCCCCCGGTGTGGTCTCTCATGCTGCTTAAAAATAAGTGCTTCTCCCAGCTTTCTTTGCCCTGTGATTTACTGGCAGTGTTTAACTGCAGGGCAGCATCTTTTATTGTTACACGATCTGCGGCTGAAAGCTGACAAAATGGAATCTCTGCACAACTACCTTTTGTATGTGAGTAAGTGTGTGTTCAGGGCGAAGTAGGGAGCGGGCCGGAGGAATAAAGAACTTGTGTGAGAAACGTTTGTCTAAGTGCAATTCAAATCCTCCCGGTGTTGGGTGTGTGTGTGCGTGTGTGTGTGTGCGTGTGTTTGTCATTCCACTAAATGGTTTCTTCCTTGACTTGATGGAGCAAGTCCCATCTCAGGGGAACGGGTTACAAATACACACACAAAGTAAAGCGCTGTGAGACCGAACAGCTCAGAACATTAGTGTGATCCATTTGAGAGAGGTAGAATATAAATATATATATATATATATATATATATATATATATATATATATATATATATATATGTATATGGAATACCGAGCACGATTGTGTGCGTCCGTCTCTTTTTGCCCGTGTTTTGTGTTGCCATGATAACAGCCCATTGCAACATTAGCCACTCTACTTCCTTCCTTTGCTTTTCTTTGGAGATAACTCTCGTACAGATGTGAGGTCGGCGCGGCCTCGCTGGCGACGTTTGCCCACACTTGCGTGCGGGGCCAACGGCACCAGTGCGGCGCGTGAGCGGATCGCCGCCGCCGCCCCCCCATTCGCTCGACAGGTCCGGTGTGTCGTTACAGCCTTGATTATCCATCAGCGTGACGTGTGAAGGTCAGCACAGCCGTGACCAGCACAGCTGTCACATCTCCTCCTAGCAACCTCTTGGCTAACTCGCCTTTCCAAAACACTCAGCGCAAAACACGTTGGGAGTGGGGATCACGGGTGGGGGGGGGGCCAAGGCCAACGGAACATGCCTACGACCGGCGCCGCGCTCGCCTCATGACACCTCCACTCAATAATAGCGCGAGACGGGGCGAAGACGGGCCGAATCGGTGTCAAGACAGTCGGCGAAGAGGAGGCTGTCGGCGTGCACCGCGGTGAAGAACACCGTGGCGTCTGTTAGTGTTGCCTCTCAAGATTTTATTCAACACCCGATACAGCCGCAATATGAAATGAGTTCCTGCCCTGCTGCATGAGAGGAAAGTGCTACAGAGGCTCTGTGTGGAGAGCAGATGTGAATCCACTTTGATTTCAATCCCTGTGTTTGTTTAGATGTGTGTGAGTGTGTGCGCGCGTGTGTGTGAGTGTGTGCGCGTGTGTGTGTGAGTGTGTGCGCGTGTGTGTGTTCGTTCGCATTTGTGTGCAGTTTCTATTAAATGGATCTGCTGTCTCCTTGATCAAGGGAGTCAATAAAGGGCCAGTCCTGTCAAACCCTCTGGGGTAAATGTGTGTGTGTGTTCGTATGTGTGTGTGTTCGTGTGTGTGTGTGTGTGTGTGTGTGTGTGTGTGTGTGTTATGGTCAGAATTTGAAGTGCTCTGACAGGTGAGTGATTGAGTGCTTTCATTTCCCTCCAGCGACAACAAGACATGCACACACAAACACGTACCCAGCATGCACACACACACAGACACACACCCAGCGGAGGACGGAGGGAGGGAGAGAGCGAGAGGGAGCAGGAGAGAGCTGTTGTTTCCTAAAGGATGCTGCTCCTGCCTGCATGCTTAAATTAGCTCTAAATGTTTGGATTACACACGGGAGCTCTCACAGAGGATTTAGCAGCCATAGCCCGGAGGATGTGTGGACGTTTCCATCTACATCGCACACACGCGCATGCAATGCCCTCACACAGCTCACGAGCATATGCCACTCAATTATCAGTCCCTATATGCCGAGAAGCCGCGACAACATAACATGAGTCAGACAAAAGATGGGTCGAGCTTTAAAAAAGCAACACGCAGCTCGGAACGGCGGCTCAGCTCTCCGGCTTTATGCCGCTCCACTTTTTAAAGAGTGCAGTGTTGGCTTCTGCTGGGGGGAGAGGGGGGGGGAGGATATGCTCGCTGACATAGAGACAGGGAGAGAAAGAGAAGGGGAATGAGGGAGGTCAGCGCCCCCGGTCTCAGATAAAGGCCCTCTCCCTCCCTTCTGCCTCGGCTTTCCAAGCCCCTGCCAGGACGGAGAGGCGTCTCACGTTACAGCTGTCTCTCAGTGTCATCGTTCAGAAAGAGGGCGAGCACAAGCGCCGCGGAGAGACAGACAGAGGGGGAGAGAGAGACAGACAGAC